TCAGTAATTAAGATTCCCTTTATACCTTATCGTTATACGCATTAGTCTTAAGATACATTTATCTTAATTCAAGCTCGTCTCATTGATTAGCAAAATTCGCATACTCAAGCATGGTCTCTACAATTATGTTGCTTCCTCCCCATATTTTTGTACTCGTTCATTACATCTTAGTTTTGGTATGAGTTTCTTTAGATACTCTCAATCATTTTTAATAAGAATGGTCATCCTAGGTCGCTTAGTGTGCTTTAACTACGTATAGTTGAGTCTTATCACAAGCTCTATTTCATATTATTTTAGCCAAATTTTGGCCTTTAAAATATCAACTTACCCTGGAACATAATTCCCAGAAATTGTCTGCATACTCTAGCTTCATTGTTCTTAGCGGTTAAACATCCTCAATCCTTTGGAGTTAAAATGCTATATTTTTATATTCAAGCAATCGCCCTGAATCGAGGTTGTTTATTTTCATTAAGTATTCGTTTTTTCTTCCATTATCTATTGTTTTTTCCGTATAATTCATTGCTTATCCACTACTTATCTAATGGGAATGTGATGACGTTCAGCTACTCCAGGTCGCCTCATTGACCATTTACTTCAGTCTGAAAATTTCGCGCAGCATCATCTTGCCCACATTAAACATTTAGTTTTGGACGAAGCTGATCGCATGCTCAACATGGAATTTGCAGAGGATATTGACCGTCTGCTTAATCTATACGCCAGCCCGCGTGATTGCCGCGACAATATTAGGCTGACTAAGAGGCAACTAAAGCGAATGAAGAAACGAAAAAAGCTACTCGAAAGAAAGGCTGACGAGGCCCCAGGTAAATTATGACATTTTTCGCTTATATTTCTCCTTTTTACCTAGCACTCAAGACTCAATCTTCTCTCTTGTTCGCGTAATATCCATCATACTCGTATGCTTAAATATTCATTTTAAAATTCAAGATTAACTTCTTTGATGATGTGTTGGTGAGGCTGCTTTTTTTAAAGTAGGCAAATGTTACAATCTTTTTATACTTTGTTCGTGACTGCGAGAAAGTAATATACCATTCCTACATTTTCTTATGATAATTTGAATTTTTTAATATTTTAATATCTTCTTATGTTTTGAATACGGGCTTTAGTCACCTTGTATCA